TAGATTGCAATTTTATATTTGTAAATTGTTTTAGAATCAAGGATCCTGAATAAAAATACAAAGTAGGGTTTGATTTTTAAATTAATACATATTCTAAAACACTGCTTTTTTTTTACCTTTTTGAATATACTTGAGATCCTGTTTATGTTTCCAGGAGTTTTATAATATTTATAAATCTGGAATGAGAAGAGAATGTCTCCAATAGGAGACAGTTATTAATGTATCTAGGCATCTGGCTGCTGTATTTTTAGCTCAACCTTTGTGAATACTGTATGAACCTAGTAGTCCCTCCACTTAAACACGAATCTAAAAGCTCTCTGTCTTCACCCTTCATTTTGGTGTAGATGTGTTTACTTGCAAAGATAGCTGTAGGAAGGCAAGTCTTTTACCAGAGCTTGCTTTTGAAACACATATAAGGGAGTTATGCCATTCTGAGTTTATGATAGAAGCACTTTATAGGACTGCAGCTAGAACTCCATTTAGTAATTTTCTTTTCTACAAAAAAAAATAGAATTTCTTTTTGTCTTACAAAACTTCACAGATGGGGAAAGACATAAATACGTGTGCTCACTCTTTACCTCACTGTGGCCACTTAGCAGCAGCATTTGGAACTCTAGCCCTCAGACAGACCCTCAAAGTACACTGAGTTATGCAAAACCCACGAGAGTCTGTTTAAGGGGTAGCAAGGATTTATTAAGATATGAAATGGGGAAAAGTACACTCACGAATACAGAACCAAGTAAACAACCATCGTTGTCCTCCGTTCTTCTGGGAGCAAATGGATCCAACGTTCAGGTCTCTGATCACCCCAAGAGAGAGAATAGGCACCCTCTTCTCAGATTTTAAGCAGTCACATAACCCACCAAAAGGCTGGTACTCCAAAGATATTGTCGGAACAAATACCCACAACACCTTTACTTGTGTATTGTCTTCTGACTTTGCTGCTCTTCTCCTTTATTCTTATTTCAATTATGTGTGTGTGCATACATGTGCGTTTCATGGAGTACACATGGAGAGAGCAGAGGACAGCATATAGGACTTAGTTGCCTCTTTCCACCATATGGGTCACAAGATAAACTCAGATCATCCAGCTTGGAAGCAAGTACCTTTACCCACCAAGCCATCTTGCCTACCTTCATCTCCCATAGTCTTAGTCTCTAAGACAAATTGGGATGGTCCATGGAAAGATGGACAGGAGTGTGATGCATCCCATACAGTGAGTTATTAATGGTAGAAGCTACGTGGAAGGCGTAGAATCTGCTGCAGTGGAACAGTACCTCAAACAGTTATTCTTGAAGGAGTAACGAGGCTGATGGAGTCTAACCTCTCAATGGTAGACTGGCATTTAATAAAGGAGATGAAGCCACCCACAAGCCAAGAACACTGGACAGCTGAATTCCAAAAACACAAGCAATTTCCAGGATTTAAAATCCTGAATCATGACATGACACTGGCAGAATTCAAGTTTATCTGCTACATGGAATACTCGCACCAAATGTAAGGTCAAGCTGTAGGCCTTGTGTACATCCTACTTCACAAATGAGTCTGTCAGATATGCTAAGCCTGTAGGCCAAAGATGATACCCCAATGTGCAGAGAAACCTCGCGTGACTGTCCAGGCAGCTGGCTGTTTCTGTCATAACTCATTTTTTGGAAGTCACTTGTTTGCACTTCCTGTTTTACTAGGTAATATTATTTCCTTCTCAGGTCTCTGAAGGAGTTGAAGATTAGATCATTATAGTTACAGTTTTCCTTGTTAAGAAATTCAGAAAAGAAACTCACTAAGAGGTGTTAAGTGTCTAAGTTTGAAAGACATCATAAGATAGTTTTCTGTTGGTAATATAAGTTAGGATAGAAAGTGAATCAGGTACATTTTGGACTCACCAAAATAGCATAAATAATGGAATATTTTCTCTGAATTTGTCAAATGCAAATGGACTAAACATTGTTGATGTATTTGTTGCTATATATTGTATATAGTTGTATATATTGTATATAGTTTTTTAGATTCGTTATAACTTTTTTATTTTTATTAGACAGAAAAGGGAAATATGGTGATATTTTATTTGTACTTCAATAAATAAAGTTTGCCTGGAGATCAGAGGAAATAGCTAGCCATTATAAGTAAACAAAGAGGTCAGGCAGCAGTAGCACACGCCCTTAATCCTATCCCTTAGCAGCAGGGTCTCTGTGTGTTCAAGACCACACTAGGGAACAGAGCCAAGTGTGGTGACACACGCCTTTAATCCCAGTATCCACCATAGAGGTCTGGAGATCTGTGCAGACAGACAGAAAGTGACAGAGCTGTGTAGGAAGAGGAAGTGAGGTAGCTGGGCTAAGAGAGCCAATGAGAGGCCAGAACAGCAAGGCAATAAAGGCGTGGGTAGACAGGAAGTAACTCACATTTGGAAGCTGAGAGTTGGTGAGGTGAGGTTGGCTGGTGGCTTTCCCTATTTCCCTGATCTCTTTAAAGCTTTCACCCCTATTTCTTGCTCCATGTTTTTTATTTAATAAGAGCATTTAGAAATTTGTCTACAATCTGCCATGGTTTTGATGTTGTTCATGGCAGGTATTCCTAGTAGGAGGTCATAGGTCATTGGGGTGATGTATGAGTCTCCTGGTAAATTCTACAAAAGAAAAGCTATTATAAAAATCTGAGCCTGGGCCAGCAAGATGGTTCAGCCAGAAGAGTTTGCTGCCAAGCCTGATGACCTTAGTTCTAACCCTAGGACCCACGTGATAAATAAAGTGAGGAACTGACTCCCAAGCAAGTTGTCTTTGACCTCTACCCACATTCCATGGCATAAGCATACAGACGCATACAGCAAACCAGTCAATTAGCAAATCGGTTTTGGTGTTGTAGAAGTCAGCCCAGCCCTAATGTCTGAAGCATCCTGCCTCACTGCGTACCTTTGTTTTTCTGTCATGTGCCCTCAACACAGCTAGTCTTGTCAGGGTTGGACTTGGAGCCTCTTTTTCTTCGAAAGTAACCTGCCTTAGATATTTGGTGCAATAATGAAAACTAGTGCAGAAGTGTTCACTGATAAATTGTTTCAGTTGTGCTGTGTATTTGAAAATTGTCATGATAAAAGCTCAGGTGGTCTTCATGAAAAGTGATACTACAGGGACTCATGTATTCTGTGCGTGAATGTTTATAATGACATCGTTAGAGGGAAATGAGTATTCTCTTAGAATAAAAAGCCACATTAAACTATCTTCACAAATGAGATCACTAGATTGGTTTTCAAACTCGTAATTTTTGAAACTCAGGTTAGGCATGGTAAATAATTTAGAATGTGTAAAAATTGAGCCATGTTGTATTATTGAATATTGAATTGAACAATAATAGAACATAGGTTATTGAAACCAAGGTGTATACATAATCAGTGTAATAGTATGTACCATTACAATATATTCTTAGAGACAAATGTACTGACATAAAAAGATATTTGTAATATAATATTTTATATATGGCTGAAAAGTTAAGGATTTGAGATATAATGTTTGTCAATGTTACTTTTGAAACTGGATATTATGATTTTATTTTTTATAGTAAAATTTTCCTAGTTTTAAAACTTAATTTAGTAACACAAGAAAGAAGGAAAATGGGAAATGGAAAGATAAAATGTATTCTATTCTTTTCTCTTAAAATATTCTCTTAAAAATATTTTTTTTCTCTAAATTGGAGCAAGAAAATCTTGATATCTCTACATATTTTTTTATCAAACTGAAGAAATGTGTTTTATACATAAACAACAATGCTATTCATCTTTCTAAGGATGTCTTGGGAATGCCACAAGTGGGCTTTTGAAAAGGAGTTACAGTGATGTCATGCTGCTGGCCCCAGAGCATTTCATACTTGGAAATGCCCATCTTTAGTCCCTAATTGCATTAAATTTCAATGTCTGGCTCATAAGGAAAGGAAGCTTTAATGTGGGAAAGGAAAATCCGTTTTCCCTCTGAATACAGTAACCATTGATAGAGCTCTGACTGTATGACACCTGTGTCCCTGGTTTCTCAGAGTCCCACCAAAAGAATCAAGAGCTCAAGGAGACCAAAAACACCAAAGTGTTCTCATCAGAACTCTGTAAGCAGATGTGAGCAGTGTTGACGTTGGTGATCCTTTACAGAGTATCTCTGGGAGCAGTGGAGGAAGAATATTATTTTCTCTTCATGTATTCAAATTGATTAAAGCCTTTATGGTTCTGAATTTAACTTTTCAGCTATTACTTGTACTCTTTAGAAGAAGGTGTCTTCGCTGAAAGAAAAGTCGCATAGTGTGTTACTTACTTTTCTATTGGAATGATAAAATCCCAGGACTAAAAACAAGTTATAGAGGAAACAGTTTACTTTTGCTTTTGGGCTCCAGAGGGAAAGTCTGTCATGGTTTGAAAAGCATGCAGCAGGAACAGGAAACAGACTGGTCACATTTTCATCAGCATACAGGAAGCAGAGAGATAATGGGAGTGGATTAAAGCTGTAAACCCTCGGGCTGGAGAGATGGCTCAGAGGTTAAGAGCACCGACTGCTCTTCCAGAGGTTCTGAGTTCAGTTCCCAGCAACCACATGGTGGCTCACAGCCATCTATAATGAGATCTGGCACACTCTTCTGTATACATAATAAATAAATAAATCTTTAAAAAAAAAAAAAAAGCTGTAAACCCTCAAAAGTCTTCTCTACCTCCCAGTGATGTAACTTCAGCAAGCCTCTCAACCCCAGATGTTCTATAACCTCTCCAGAAAGCAGCTCCACCAGCTGGGGTCAAGCATTCAAGTACACATTAATTAAAATAATTTAATCATAAGTAGAGCTAGTCTCTGGGTTCGACTTCTCTAGCTCACAGGATTTACATGAAATGTGTAGTTCATTCTTTGATGTGTATGTGTATACATGTGGACATATGCACATATGACACTCTTCCTCTATCCAACAGCCTGTCCATTCTGTCTAATTGGTCCCTCACAATGCTAAATGTTTTCCTCCTCTCTTCTCTTCCCCAGGCAAAATGTCCACCGACCGAGCTTTGAGGAAGCAGCAACAGTTGAATAACCTTGCTTACGTGGTGCTAAATCAAGCCAAACCTGGTGACAGAATTGTGGATTTCTGCAGTGGCGGGGTATCATATGTCTCTCTTGTCCTTTAGCCTTTCCACGATCATGAGACCTTGCTACATTACATTCAAGGTCATGATTTTATTTGGCAAACTTATTGTCTAACACTGAACACGAGCCATGGGAACCAAAGTTGACTTTTTTGTCTTCCCTTTCAGGGCCACGTTGGAATTGTTCTTGCACATATGCTGCCCTCTTGCCAGGTAAGGGTGAGTAAGAGACCCGGTGGAACAGGTTAGGAAGTCCAGTTCAGGGCCATGTCTGCAGAATCCTCCCTCTGCATTGCTGATTACTCACTCATCAAGTCAAATATGTGACACGTGACTCCTAAGATCAGAATCTTAACTGGGGGCAAAGGAGAGTAAGACTACAGTAGAGTTACTAGGATTTTAACGTGTATGTGTTTAGTAAAACAGGGTATCTATTCCACTATTGAATAAAATGAATATGATAACGCTAACTTAATTTTCCACACATTCACAACTAGAAATGTTACTAAGGACTATCTGGTTAAAAAAAAAATGTCATTTTTTAAAAATATATAGTCAACTGGGGCAGAGCATGACTCTGTGAGAAGAAAACCTAGAGCTGACAGATAGTCAGACACCTGGTGGAAAATGACCGGGGTGGGGCTGCGGTTTCCTTAGAGGAGTGGTCCTCAACCTGTGGGTCGCGACCGCTTTGACAAGCCTCTGTCTCCAAAAGTATCTCCGTTATAACTCATAACAGTAGCAAAATGATAGTTAGGAAGTAGCAATGAAAATAATTTTATGGTTGGGGTCACCACAGCATGAGGAACTGCATTAAAGGGTCACAGCATCAGGAAGGTTGGGAACCACTGCTCTAGAGAATAAAGAGCAAAACAAATCAAAGTTGAAGGAGAAGAGACGAGCCCTGTTGTAGTGTTGGGAAAACAGTGTTAGGATTGGCTAAGAGGAGGGGCTCACAGGGCAGAGTCCCGGGAGGCAGAGGGGGGCGGAGGGCATCTTTTCCCCATTCTAGTAATTCTCCTTTCTGGTAATTCTCCTGGAAACTTAGATGGACTGACCCGGACAAGGGCTTCAGCTAGATAAAACCACAAGGTTTTTAATATCAACTGTATATCAAGTGTTTATGTAAAGTGATACAGTATCTTTCTATAAAGTGTGCTTAAGGAAAAAATATATGATAACAATGTCTTTAATTCTACCTGTGATTACTGTTGGAGGCTCCTTCTGCCTTCGGCCTCACCCCACCAATCCAAGCTATTCCCTGCAGCTTCTGGAACCTTCTTTATCATAAATACATGATATGGCCTCCCGTTATTTCTTCCACCTCATCTCCATCCCTTACACCCTGCCCCTCTTTCCCACGATCATTGTCACCATGCACTGTGCCAAACCCTATCAGCTTTCTCAGCTCTTCACTGTTGATATACCACAATCTTCCTCAGGCCAAGCCGTTCCCTTAGCTAATCTCTGTTCGTTTTCAGGCCTCCGCTAATGTTATTTCTCCATTAAAAACCCGCCTTAGTCTCCAAATCTGAGTTCCCATTACACTTCAGTCTGAACATATAACACGCTGTTGTTTCTTTCTTTCACTTATATCATTGCATGCTAAACTTCAGGAGTTCAAGACATTGTTCATTTTTGTACCAGGTGAACTATCATACAAGATAGAGGATTAGTAAATGCATTCTGCATTATTATTAAGATATGAAATATAGCTATAATGCTCAGCACTAATGTCTGAATTGTGTTACTGAGTATACTGGATTTCTTTCTGCATAAAATCTAGGTTATATTAATAGAAAACAAGGAATTATCACTAATCCGTGCTAAGAAGAGAAGTGACGAACTAGGTTTAAACAACATTTGGTTCATTCAAGCAAATATGGAGTATTTTACAGGAATGTTTAACATTGGGGTGAGTAGTCCATAATTTCAGTTTCTCTTATTAGTTAAATAATAACTTTATTTTATATTTATTTGCCCTTTGCTTTTTTTAACTAAAAGGCATATGATTTATGTCCTTTGTAGATGTGAAAAAAATGTTTGAAATAGCAGGATATTGAAGTCAGTATTGTTTTTCCATATTTCATTATTAGATACCTGTCATGGATTTTTCCCTTCCTTAATTACTTTGGATGCCCCTATGTACTGTCTAACGATTTTTTGTTTATTTTTTTTACTGTTTTAATAGACTATATTTAATATACTATTTTTATATTCACAAATATCTAGGCAATCTATATAGAAATAAACATGTGAAATACATGTTAAAAATTATAAACGTGTATTTCTTTTCATGTGACATGGATACATGCTCCTTTACTTTATGGACTTATATACTGATAAGCCAATAATAGACTGTCATAAGTAGAAAATGTATATAATACAGGAATCTACTGAATATCATAGATTAGCTACACCAAATGCTGTAGGGAACTGCTCATGTGCCTTGTGATCACAGGGCTGGCTGACTAAGAGCTGAGCTGGGCTGCTGTCTAGCACCAGAGTGAGGCTCATCGGGAGTCCTGTTAGCCAGGATCAAGTTCCAGACCTGGTGCTCCCTGAATGTCTGGTACCTTTGCACCACCATAAAGTCAAAAACTAACTGAATAAATAGAACCACTGTTAGTCATGGCTTGTTTGTATTTTTCCTTCAAAACAAGTGTTTCATTATTACAAGAATACCATTTTCTTAATACTGGTTTTGATTTTAATGACTAATATACATCATAAGGAAAATATATTTTTTCCAAAATAAGCATCCAAAAAAAAGTTTTTAGAATTTTTTTTCCATGAATTCCACTTATTTTTTTTTTATTTTACAATACTATTCAGTTCTACATAATAGCCACAGATTCCCTTGTTCTCTCCCTTCCTGCCCCCCTCCCCTTCCCCCCAGCCCACCCCCCCATTCCCACCAACTCCAGATCAAGGTCTCCCCCAAGGACTGGGATCGACCTGATAGACTCAGTCCAGGCAGGTCCAGTCCCCTCCTCCCAGATTGAGCCAAGCATCCCTGCATAAGCCCCAGGTTTCAAACAGCTAAATCATGCAACAAGCCCAGGACCTGGTACCACTACCTAGATGCCTCCCAAACAGATCAAGCCAATCGACTGTCTCACCTATTCAGAGGGCCTGATCCAGTTGGGGGCCCCTCAGCCTTTGGTTCATAGTTCATGTGTTTCCATTCATTTGGTTATTTGTCCCTGTGCTTTATCCAACCTTGGTTTCAACAATTCTCGCTCATATAGACCCTCCTCTTTCTCACTAATTAGACTCCCAGTGCTCCACCAGGGGCCTAGCCATGGATATCTGCATCCAGATTCCTCAGTCCTTGGATGGGGTTTATGGCACAACTATTAGGGTGGTTGGCCATCCCATCACCAGAGTAGGTCAGTCCCAGCTGTCTCTCGACCATTGCCAGCAGTCTCTTGTAGGGGTATCTTTGTGGATTTCTGTGGGCCTCTTTAGCTCTTTATTTCTTCCTTTTCTCATGTGGTCTTCATTTACCATGGTCTCCTATTCCTTGTTCTCCCTCTCTTTTCTTGACCCAGCTAGGATCTCCCGCTCTCTTTCCCTCGACTGTCGCCCTTCATTGCTCCCACTCATGTCCAGGCTGTTCATGTAGATCTCATCCATTTCTCCATGTCTTTCTTGGGGTCCCGTTTTCCAGGTAGCCTCACTATAAATATTGACTACTATAAATTTAAAGGATGCTTTTAATAAGATTATTTATAAAAAGTGTAGTATTAATACTATTTTAATTTATTTTAAAATGTATTGGTATTTTTTAGTACTGTATTTGCATCATTTCCACACCACACTCTACCCCTTCCACCTCCTTCCATGTCTCCCCAGTCAAATTCCTTTCAAATTTATGACCTCTTCATTGTTAAATATTGGTACATATATACATGTAATATGTATGTATATATGAATCCAGCCTGCTGGGTCCATTTCGTGTTGCTTGTATGTGTTTAGGATGACCACTTGAGAATGGATAACCTGTCCAGGGCCTGCTCCTTGGAGAAGACAGAGTCTCCTTCCCTTAACAGCCACTGGTTACCTGTAGCTCTTCATCTTAGGGATTTGAGAGGATTTCCGCATCTGTGTTTGCTCTCCTTGTATAGATCTTGTTTAGGAGACCACGTTGTTAGGATTTCATGGGTGCTGTAATCAGAACACACTGTCTCACAACAGCTGGTCTGCTCCTATGCCTCCTAGAGTATTTCCACCCCATCTTCTGCAATGTTCCCTGAGCCTCAGGCTGTGTTGTAGATACCAGTTGAGTTTGGATACTCAGTTGTTCTTGACTATTTGATTGATCACAGTTCCTGTGATAGTCTCCATTTTCTTCTTTCTTTAATCCTTTCTGTTCAACAAGACCCTCCTTAAATGTCATCTCCTCCAGAAGATTTCATGACTCCCCCACCTTTCTGTCTTTTAATGTTTCTGTCTATACTTATGCTATTTTTGTTTGTTTTTCTATATTTTGATACAGGTCTCATGTAGCCCAGGTTGGCCTTGAACTCACTATATAGCCAAGGATAACCTTGAGGTCCTGATCCACCTAGCCTTGCCTCTCAAGTGTTGGGATTACATGTGTACACACCATGCTGGGCTCTGCACCCTATTGAATGGCACAGACATCCCACTGTGTGTTACTGGATCTTCTGAGTGCTTCTGGGCTTCTGGCCTGTGTCGCACTCTGTTTCTGTTTATGCTTCTGTGTGCTGCCCAACACAGTGAGCCACGTGCTAGTTAGCACCAGAATTTTAGGTCTGTTCAAACTTCTATAATCAAGTTGATTGATAGATTGGTACTAAAATTCCATTGGTACTAAAACAGAATATAGAATAGGAACCACAATTTTGATATTTTATTCTTCACAATGACCATAATATTGATAAATAGGCTGACCTTAGAGATTTTTTGATAAATGAAATAGTGAATGAATAAGTTATTTCATTCCTGAAACTCTAAGCTTTTAATGATTGAAATAAAAGACAAACTGCTCCACACAGTCACTCACATTCACATTGCTGCAGAAGCTCTAAGTTACTGCGGCGAGAGGACCAGCAGCATCCCGACCCCTGTGAACGGGCTGGAAGGACAAGGCTCTGCTCTCACCTCCTGTCCTAACAAGACGACCCAGTCCAGAACTGAAAGATGACAGAAAAATTGACGTGAATAGGTTTTGGGTCTGATTAATTTCAAAGTGTAATCATTTTTATTTGCAATATTTTATTTAATTTTTTTTTAATTCTTAAAAATTAAAATGGTTAATGTGAATGTTTTCCTCTTCTATTCATACCCTGATAAGTTACCACAAACCAGGCATCTCAACATAACATATATTTATTAACTAACAGTTCTGTAGATCAGAAATCTAGATCATAAGATGCCAGTCATGCTGCCTCTTACCTGGACGCTCTAAGGTGCCATGGTGGGGACTCACTGAGGTACTTAGTAGAATGTGGTTTCATTTAGTTATGTCTCCCTTCTGGCTGTGGGCCGAGTGTCCTCAGCTTCTGGAGGCCACCCACATTCCCTGGTTGCCCTCTGTGGAAGCCTGCGGTGGCAGTCCAGGCTTGGGTTTCCATTTTCCTGACCTCCTGTTCTATCTCCTAGGCTCCTCCCTTATAAAATTCTCTGCTTTTAAGACCTCATGTAGTTAGATTGAAGCTGCCCATGTTGTTGAGGATAATCTTGAACTGTCACCACAGTCACATCTGTGAATGTCTTTTCTGCCTTGGCTGAATGTTCTGTTCTAGGAATTAAATGCAGCATCTTTAGGGGACAATCCCTGGCTCATTTGTTTCCCTATGATTTATTTGCAGTCTTGTTAATTGTCCTTTACAGTTTTCCACATGTGGATCTTACTGATTACTTCTCTTCCACTTATTTCCCTGGCCCCTAAAGTGTCTCAATTTTAACAATTAAGATCTAGACTGCAGGGGCTGGAGAGATGGCTCAGCAGTTAAGAGCACTGGCTGCTCTTCCAGAGGACCTAGGTTCAAATCCCAGCACCTACATGGTGACTCACAACCATCTGTAACTCCAAGATCTGATAACCATTACACAGACATACATGCAGGCAAAACACCAGTGCACATAAAATAAAATAAATTTTAAAAAAGCAAATTGAAATTTAAAAAACCGTCTAGACTGCAAAAACAATTATATTCTGCCTCAATTCGGGGTTAGACTGCATCATAGATGCTAGTGGTATGTCCTGTTGTCTCTGCATTAGCAGCGTTTGTAATCATCGACCCTCCCTACTCTATATAAATAAACTACAGAATGGCATCAATTTAGTTTATCATTCCATTATCAACAGATGGTTACCCAGAGATATGGTGTACATAGTTTAAAAAAAAATCTTTCCCAGTATTTTCCATTTATCAAAATGAGCTGGCTATTTACCAAAAATAACCAATTAGGTTTTTTTTTTATTTGGGATTTTGGAAGTATCATTATTGGCTCATAAATTTGATATTTGAAATACTTCATCCATTCTGGGTTTTTTGTTGTTGTTGTTTTCATGAATGCTCAAATCTCCCCATCTTTGCTCAGTCATCCCCTTTGGGTTGCTGCTGAATCCTTTGACAAACCCTTCAGCAGTGTGTAGGTGCATGCTGCTCTCCACTGAAGATGCTCTGGCTCATCTCGCTTCCTGTGTCAGCTCTTTGTCCTGAGTTGATTTCTCTGAAGTACTCCGAATTTAGTTAAGACACCTAACGCTCAGGTCCGGTTCTGTTCTCCAGGTGGCGCTGCATGCCTGTGGAGTGGCAACAGATATGGTGATTGAGCACTGCATCCAAATGCGGGCTTCCTTCATCACGTGCCCGTGCTGTTACGGCTTCATTCAGAACACATCCAAGTTTAATTTCCCCAAAAGGTGACATTCAGTGTTTTACCTAAGACACCAATGTGGGAGTAAGTTGCTACACGAGACTTGTTTAATAAAGATGCAGTTAGAGTCGGTTGGGTGGCAGTGGCGCACGCCTTTAATCCCAGCACCTGGGAGGCAGAGCCAGGTGGATCTCTCTTAGTTCGAGCCCAGCCTGGTCTACATAAACCATTTCCAGGACAGCCAGGGCTACACAGAGAAACCCTGTCTCAAAAAACTAAAATAAATCAATAAGGTTGCAGTGAGATTTGCATTTGAGATTGTCTACCTTTTCCAGTGTGGCAGGTGTTGCTTATGAACAGGATTAAGAGGATTGGCTCTCCTCTGTCTGTCCCTGCCTTTTCTTTCAGATCAGTTAGAAGCAAGTCTGTTTAGGAGCAAGTCAGCTGGCTTCCCACCTCCCGGTGTGGCTCTAAGTGAAATCAGAACCATCCTTTGTAAGAGGCAGTGGAGTGTACTGGCCTAGTGTTTAGAGTCTAGGAATACACTGACCAGGTGTAGTACTAGCTGCTTAGTACTCTGCATGCTGTGTAATGTCAGACAAGTTACTGTCTTCCTCTATACAAAATGAGGCCATAGCAGGAGCTACTGCAAGGGCTCAGGTGAGCATTTAATAACGAGATATATATTACTTAGAAGCGGCAAAGAGGTCAAGTGTATGCCTAGAATCCTGACACTGGAGGCTGAAGTAAGAGGATTGATTGCCTCAAGTTCAAAACCAGCCTAGGCACAGAGTAAGACTGTCTCTCTAATCAAACAACAGAAAAAGTAAGAGGGCACAGAGTAAGTCCATAAATGTGAATTGTTGCTAGTAGTTACATGGCATCCATAGCATCTCCAGGATGGCTCGGGGGATGAAAACATCTGCCAACCAGATCAGACAACCTGAGCTTGATTCCTCGGACCCTCTGACCTCCACACACATGCTATGGCATCCGCACCCACACACATACACACATGCACAAAAAGTAAATAAACTAAAATGTAGGGTTTTATTTAAAAATAATAATAAATAGTATTTACAGGTATTGCCTAGATTTGATAGCCATCTTCATGATCCTTCTAATTCCACATAGCAAGGAAGAAATTTTAATTCTCACCACTTCTATTGGAGAACAACCCTGTGTGACATTTCACTCTCTGGTTCAGTTACTGAAAATCAGAAGCTAAATATATCAGTGTTGGACCTTCTGTCCTATGTTTTAAAAAAAGCTTCTTAGGACACAAAATCAGTCACATTACTTTTGGAAACCTTAGAAATTTTTCATTAGAATTTAGTCTTTAATATAAGTAACAGTATGAAATAATCTTTTTTCTTTCATTAATTTGCTCTTGCTACAGTTCACAAACTGAGAGAAAACCAAAGGAAGCATTGAAAGACAGACAGACAGACAGACAGGATGGATATATATATATATATATTTACATATGATAATTTGAGGCCTATTGAACAGTTCAAACCTGATAAAATGTATGATTTTTAGAGTGTATGAAGAAATGTGTAAGTCTAAGAGGTGTGTAAGAATATTAATTTGACCTGGTCAGATTTATATCCTAGTTTTACTGATTTAAAAGTCTAAGTTTCATGTCACCCTTTTTATAGCCTTGTGGATTGACTGTCATTTTGCTCTGTGTCCTTGGAACTATTTGGAACATTGATTTCTTTGTGTATGAGAACTAGCTAATTCACCAAAGGCAGATGTGTGACTTTATAGTCCATTGTTCCTAAATTATGTAAAAACAAATTATTTTAATTGATACTAATGAAGTTTATATCATATACACAGGCCTATTCTTAATTAGTCAATAGAACTCTGTAATGGACTGTGTGGAATTTAACAGTTATGACAGCTTTGATTTCTGGTTGGTTTGTTTCTTTATGTTTGACTTCACTGTTCCTTCCCACAAAAGGAGCATTAAAGGCCCATATGTCACCGCACTCCCTCAGCCTCATCAATGGCATGGCACATCCCCACAACATCCCATGTGGCATGCCACTCCTTTCTGGGGAATTGTGAGGGATAAAGTATCTTTTCAGTGGTGGTTACCTCCTGATCCATTGACCTTGCCACACCTGAATCATAACAAAACCACAGTACAGCACTGGAAAGTGTGTCAGGAGAAAATCCAGAAGTGGTTGCCCTTTCCTAACAGGATTAACAGACTTGGGAGTAGACTCTTTAAAACTCGTGACATCCTGATGCTCTGCTGTTATCTTCCCATAAACACACTTGAAACTGACGCAGTTCTTCATTCGGAATAACCTTTAATACTCTTCAAATACAGTACATATTTTTATTTATAATTCAGTTTATTTGACCTTCTTTAAAGTGGTAACTAATTCCTTTTTGTTTCCTATTCTAGTGAAAAATTCAAGGAAACTTTATCATACAAGGTAACGTTATTAAAAAGATCTAGACATCCTCTGAATATACTTTGTTTGTGCATTTAGGGTTTTGTTGTTTTATTTGAGACAGGCTCTCACCCTCTGTCGTGGAACTCATTATTTGCCCAAGCTGGCCTCAGATTCACGGCCACCCTCTTGCCTCAGTCTCCTAAGTGCTGGGATTATATACATGAGTCATTGTGACTCCTTCCTATACAACTTTTGATCCTTCATATTTTTCCATCCCAAATTTTGTCTTATATATTAGCTACAGATACATTGAATCACATAAAAATATCTAGTATGGCCTTTTAAAAGTTTCAAATCCAGATTAATTTAATTCTTTGAATAGTGAATTAGATTTGGGAAGGAGCTGAGATTTTGTTTTTCCCCTTCTTACATACAAGTTACCAAGTTAGCTGGCCCAGTAAATGCTGACAGAGGCAGAGATTCCTGTCATGGACAAAAGACAGCTGTTGTAACAGCAGCAGTAGCCAGAGTCCCATCATCTTCATGTGACTCCCGGAGGCCCTCTTCCCAGGAGATGGACCTGCTCATGCCTGGGGAGGGAAACTGGTTTCAAGGCTATGCACTCTGACGACATGCTTGGAAAGATAATCCAGAATGGAGGGAATTTTTTCTATAAAAAGTCAGGTATTTTCCCACGTATTCTCCATTGCCCCTCCCATTTTTATTATTTTTATTGTTCATTAAACCTTTGAAGATATAAAGGAGTGGTTGATGGTGAGCTACCCACAAGTAGATCCCAGGCTGTGTGTCCCAGTGTGTCAGCGCCTGACCTTGAAAGAAGGCAGTCAGTTCTTGCTTACAGAAACTCAGGGAACACTTAGAGACCGGTCTCCCATAAGTCGTGATGGTTTTGAGCCACTGATCTGAGCAGAGCAGTTTTGATCTTTCTGAATATCACCGTTAACAACTGTTCAATAACATGACATAAAAATCTAAGAAGTGATTTGAGCTAAATGCAAGGGTAATTCAGTTAAAGCTTGATAGTTAGTTTGAATTTAAATTCAGTGAATTCCACTTTTTACACAGACCCGCTGGAACATAGTGTCATTTTGTGGACCAGCCCTACATTTTAGTACTTTTGCTTCCTCCATCTAACAATGAAGTAGTCTCTTTAAACATTCACTTCTACCACCTTGACAGCTTTCTCTCTTCAAACCTGTCCTTATGCTTCCTCAGTGCCCACTTCCAGCCCTCTATCCCACCCTACCTGTAGCCCTCCCCTCCCCTCCCCACTGCCCCATGCACAGCCCTCCCCTGCCCTCCCCACTGTCCCACGCACAGCCCACCTCTCCCCTCCCCACTGCCCCATGCACAGCCCTCCCCTCCCCTCCCCACTGCCCC